TTCTTATGAAAAAAATCATTTCTGAATTAAACTATTTTGCTGTTATGTCACCGGAGTTATAAAAATATAAAGAATAGAAACAAACCTTTCTAACATTCCAGAGGTTAAAATCCAAGGGGAACCAATAATTTGTTACAAATATTTAATATTCAGCCAATAGGAGATCAAAACGTAAATTAGAGCAATTCATTTAGGTTTGTCCCAAAGTTAATGATCAGGAGCACATGATTTAAGTGAAAAACAGGTGTTTTTAATGAAACCTGAAAAATTCTCACCTCAGTTTTTTCAAACTTTTTTGTCAGTTTTTTGCAAAAACTTGCCACAAAAAGCTTGTAACAGTATATATATATATATGTTATTACACATATACAAATAAGCATTTCAAATATATATTATTACATACATACAAATAAGCATTTCAAATATATATTATTACATATATACAAATAGGCATTTCAAATATATATTATTACATATATACAAATAAGCATTTCAAATATATATTATTACATATATACAAATAAGCATTTCAAATATATATTATTACATATATACAAATAAGCATTTCAAATATATATATTATTACATATATACAAATAAGCATTTTAAATATATATTATTACATGTATACAAATAAGCATTTTAAATATTTCTTATAGTTGTTATATTTACCCTTCCTGTTCCCCCTCTCTGGTGGCCATAATAAGGCTGGTCATGGTTTTGTACAGCTGGCCAAATTTCCTCTTAGAGTGACATTCTGTACACTCTACAAGGTCAAAAACGTGTTAAGTAACACTTATCAACTGACTATATTAATATACCTTCCCCCTCCATTTCTGATAGGGTTTGGGTTACACTTCTATGACCCTATTCTACTGTGACGACCCTAAACTCTTTTGGGCCATCGCTGCTGCATACTTTATATGAAACTAAATATTTTCTAAATGAAACACATATCTACAAAATTTCTGCCTCATTTTCGCCTAGAATCGCCATCATTTTCACCATTTCCTGCTTGCACGATTATTGCCACTCCTTATAGTCCAAGTATGGCTGCTCTATCTGCATTATCTATAAAACTTATAGTTTGGCTATAGTTCGCTTCTTACCATTAGCCACTACCGTGAATGCTGATCTGATGGTCGAAACTGAGCTTGATGCTATCTGTAAACTACAGCTTAAAGATTTCTGTTGTAGAAGACACCCTAGAAATTTGAATAATGTTTTAGACATTTGTGTAACATGGCCAAAATTGATCCTGCAGTAGTAAAAAAAATTGTGATCCTGTCAGCAGCATCTTGTCCAAGAGAGAAGTAACCATATACTACACAAATATGTGACATCAATACAGTTGCAACAATAAGTTAATAATCAGTACAGTATGTGTGTCCTGTTTGTCATATGAACATTAAATTACATCCACGGCTTTCCTGCAGCTATATACATATGAATATATATCAAATTATGAAGCTCCATATAAACCACAGACTACATTAAAACGATTGAATATCAACATTTATACAGCCACTCTTATTTGTTTGGTAGTCAAATAAAATTAAATGCTACTGGACACAATGTGAAATGATGCATTTAGTAATATTACCCAAGTTTTATTACAATACTCACAGCCATTTTGCTGTAGGCTGGCGGACCAATATTAAATATTAATAAAGAAGAACAAATGAATGTTTCCTATTATGAACCACTACCATGGACTCGTACATATGTAGACCTAGTTTGTTTGTTCAGGTGAGATTATAGGTTGCCAGCCAAATTTATGTACTTATTCTACCATGTTTCCAGTAAAACTGTGGCCTGATGTGAATTTCCAGAGTACTGTAGATTGTTAGATAAATGAGGGCACATGCACGTAAGTAGATCAGATACTAAACTCCGAATATTTATTCCTTGGTTTCTTAATAAAATTTCGGAAAAAAAATTGGAGTTTACTATATTTCTCAAGAATAAATAAAGAAAATTAGGATCTGTATTTAATATGGTCAAAATGTGAAATCAGAATCTTTTGATCCATTAGGACTTCCTCCATATAACCTCAACATAAGAAGATCTATCAAAAAGAACTGTCAAAGATAGACAATAAAAAAATACTACGAGCACCATAGTTATCTGGGTGTGGACATTATCATGTAAACATGTGTTGAAATGAAAACTGTTAAGGAAATTTAACTTTGATAAGAGTAGTATTGTTGTGAATTAATTTAAAATAAAACTACTGTAAATATTAGTTTATGTTTTTATTTAATATATTTAATAAACCTGAATCAAATGTAACAAGTAGTATTACAGAAATACTTTTGATATTATAGATTATCTATATCAATAACAGATATGGTTAATAAAATTATTGTACTTGTACACGATATGGTTCCACTATCCAACCAAGGCCTCTAACAGTTGAAGGGACTGCAATGTTAGAATCTGAAGCTCTTAAAAGAGTAGAAATGGTAAACTGAATTCATATTGATTTATTTTTATATAATAATTGTTGATACATGATTAGTAATTTTTTTTCTGTTCTTACAGTCTTCCTATGTTGAAGAGACTAATAACATACAGACTTTCCAACCACTTAGCATACAGTGTATGACATGCAAGTCGTGGTAAGTGTTAAAGATTTATCCAGATTTTTTCAAGTATTTTTTATTGTTATGCTAAAAATGCATAAAATAATCAGCAAAATAACTATCTCCTTCATACACTAGCATATAGAAGGTTGTATCTATATTTTTACGCTAAACCCAGCATACAAAATAAGTATGGTACCCAATAGTAGTCAGTGGGCAACTTGAGAAGCGGAAGTTGTCTGGCATCAGGAATGTGTTGCTAGGAGAGGTTTGACATCATATGATTACGTCATCAATGCCACAGGGTGCATTATTAAGGTTTCATATGATTACATCATTAACACTATATGTTTTCAATTATGAAATAGCACACCAAATACTTTTCCATAACAGAAATAGAGTTTGTAAATAGATAAATGGTAGATACTGATAATCTATCAAAACTACCTAAAGTTTATTCACACTATTGAATACTTCTGTTTTAGAAATATAAATGATTTACTTCTTCAATATGGCCAGGTAGTTAGGGCGCTCGAGTCGAAATCTGCGGGTCGTGGGTTCAGATCCCCGTCCCACTCATTCAGCCGTGGGGGTGTTATAAAGCGACGATCAATCCCACTATTCGTTGGTAAATTAGTAGTCCAAAAGTTTGCAGTGTATGTTGAATATCTGCTTTCCTTCTATTCTATCACTGCGAAGTTAAGGACGGCTAGCGCAGATAGCCCTCGTGTAGTCTTGCGCGAAATTAAAACCAAACCAGTCTCCGAAACTTTGTATATATATAGGACAAATAACACTTTTCGTTCGTATCTGTTTATTACCTCGTTCTTGTTTTGAGAACAATTTATTTCACATAAACTGTAGTAGCTAATACAAAATAACTCTTTAAATTCAGATATATAAAACAGTAAAGTTGGAATAATGGAACAAAGAGCCGATGATTTTTAGGTTTCTACTTTCAGTTTTGACGACTGCACGTTCAGAGCTATAGAATTAAGTCGAATTATGAACACAGTGTAGTGCTCATTCAAAGTAAAAACAGTATTTATAAATTTGATTAGTGTTTTCCCGAAATACAATAACTTTCACAGTTTAATATAAGCTACTTTTGTAACGGGTAGCTTATTTTAGTCTTTTAACAAATTAGGGAGTTTGTTTGTTAGAAATTAAGCACAAAGCTACACAATGGGTTATCTGTGCTCTGCCGACCACGGGTATCGAAACCCGGTTTCTAGTGTTGTAAATCCGCAGACATGTCGCTGTGCCACTGGGGGGGGGGGCAATAAATTAGACAGAGAATTTTGACGTACTTATTATAGAGAAAACAAACTCGATTGAAATAGAAGAAACCGTTAGAGCTTTTTTAGTATCTGCTCTACTTACGTGCATGTGCCCTCATTTACCTAACAATCTACAGTACTCTGGAAATTCACATCAGGCCACAGTTTTACTGGAAACATGGTAGAATAAGTACATAAATTTGGCTGGCAACCTATAATTTCACCTGAACAAACAAACTAGGTCTACATATGTACGAGTCCTTACTTTTAACATCCTATAGTCATATGGTAATGAACAACAGGTCTGGATGTAAACACTTACATAGGAACATTTACTCATAGAAACATGCGAATTACTCGTCAAGTGCACGTGTTAGCAACTTCTAGACAGGAAATCAATAAGCTTTACAAATGTGATTTAATCTCCAGATAGAGCTAAATTGTTTCTTTATTGTAAGCTTTTTGCTGAGTTATATCACAGTATGCGGGGCTGGAGTGTTATTTAAAAGTTAAGCGTCATTAAAGTTTATCATGAAAGATCAACCCCCAGTTATTACGACTGCCACATTGTTTGTGCATTTCATTTAATTAGTAGAAACATCATAGAAGAAGAGCATCATCGTATTTTAAAGTATTTATTTTAGTTAAAGCTTTTAGTTTTTTTTTTCTTCTAGAATGTAATAAATCGCATCATCGTTTTCGTCCAAAGTCTCTTCACGCGTGCATGTGTTGACGTACTTGGCAAAGGTTCTTTTGGCTAATTACATCGTTACGTCATCCGTGTGAGCGCCGTTCTCAAAATTTTCATATATCTTTTAAATAAACATTATGTATTTTAACTCTAGAATTAACTTCTACTTCTGTGTTTTGTCATTTACATATTGCTTAAATAAATGTTATTCCAGAGAATGTTGATTATAAAACACACTGCGATACAAATGGGAAAGTCTTATCTCAACACTTAACTTAAGATCAACGTGTTACCAGTAAATAGTAAAGTTCGGATTGCAAGAACATTTTCTGTTTTAAAATGATAGTTTAACTACACTACAATAGAGAACATGTGTTCTTTATTACCGGAAAAGAGCTCTTTTCTCGGCCATTTTCTTTGTACTCTCCCTGTGCCTTAGCACCGTGCACATAGAATGACGACGACCAGTGCGCGTGCGGGTGTTACCATGGCACCGACCCGACATCAATGCTCGTGCCAAGATGCGGCAGAGCAAGGGGATGATGGGAGACAGTAGCCGTGGTGACGGCGGAGTAGAAAAATATAAGCTGTTACACGAAATCAAGATGTCGCGAGTTTTTGGCCCTTTCTCCATTTTTCTAACACATTTTTTGTTTTTTTTTCAATGTTCTACTTGTTCAGAATTTGACTGCGATTTTGAGAAGCCCTGTACATGGACCTGGGCAAAGAATCCAAGCTTTATTGTGATTTCTTCCACCAATATTTCCCAGTTTCAAACTCTACCTAAAGAGCAAGTGTCTTCGGTGCCAAAAATGGACGCCAGAAACAAGACCGATGGTAAATTCTTCACGTGATTTTAAATTTAAACATAAGTGGTTATTTTTCTGACAAGTGGATAAACAGAAAAATATACGAGTAGACACATAGATGAGGAAATATGCTATTTTCAAATGCTTTATTTTAAAACTAACTTAAAATAATATAAATAATTATATATATATGTATATGCGCGCGCTTGTATGTGTACGTTAGAATTTATTGCCGTTCACGTAAAATGTCAACTTTATAATATGAAAACGTATAAGTTTAGTTTATAGTTTTTCTCTCTTTTTTTTCATATAGACAGTATAATCTTCTCAGAATGACATAAAGACAAAATGACAGTAATCAACACAATGCAGTCTTATTAGAGCACTTCAATACCACTGCAGCTAAAATATGTACAATATATTTACTATATACGTCTATATAAAGGCTATTTAATATCTTGTTTTTAAACATTAAGAATATGTATTATTTATATTATTCATTCATTGTTTTGTAATTTCCACGTAGGTTTATTGTATCATAGTCATTACAGTTTTTCTTTCTTACGTATTAATACTTACATACAACATTCCAAAGAATTCAGGAAACATCTCATTGTTTATTGAAAACCAAAACAATTACATGAACTATGTGCTCCGACAGATTTACTGTAAGAATCTAAAATCTACACCCTCAAAACTGAAAACAATTACATGAACTATGTGCTCCGACAGATTTACTGTAAGAATTTAAAATCTACACACTCAAAACTGAAAACAATTACATGAACTATATGCTCTGACAGATTTACTGTAAGAATCTAAAATCTACACACTCAAAACTGAAAACAATTACCCTGTAATTAGATGGCGTAGATTAATATATATTTTTTAAGACTTGAGTCTTTAAAAAGTTTGAAACAGGTTTAATGTTTTTTTTTATAACACCGACGATTTTAGAGCCCTCTCTTAAACACTGAATGTTTTTAAAACGATTCATTGTAGGCATTATCACACACCTAGAGCAAAGCTTCACAATGTTTTATCTTCATTTTATTCATTGTGGGTATCAAACCCCTAATCGTTAGCGTCGTAAGCCCGATACCTTACCATTGATCCACTGAGGAGTAAACATGAAATACAAACAAACAAAAAAGGAACTATAGCTTAAATAATAATTGTAGTTGGAGCGAAGATTCGAAGAATATTTTTATTCGCATTTTCAAAAGTCGTAAGACATCTACTGTGGAGAGAGAACATGCGTGACGACTAACATGAATACAGAGTTCGATAATTGTATCAAAGTCCAAGTGATATAAGCAAAAACAAAAATACCGACATCTTATTTACTCAAAAATTTATAAAAACTGCGGAGGATTTTCTTTCTAGGTCTAAATCATAGAGTCTGGTAAAACAACTGTTCCGAATTTATCAAACTGAAAGAAGAACTTAAAGAGCTGAAAATGAACTATACTTGTTAACGTTACATGGAGAGTAAGGCTTAACTGATCTTAGTCTCTTGATTAAACGAGAAGAGTGTTTAAAGCGGTTCCTCGTTTAATATTTTCATGGAGAACTGATTGTTTCTTAGTAATGTTATCTTAAAGAAGCCGTTTATGAGCTCTACAACAATAGAAAGTAGTTGGCATCTTTTTTTTTTCTTCAGAGCGATTGAAGTCCTTCTGTACAAATAAATGTATTATTTGAAACCCTTCTAAGATAGCTAGCTACTCACTCATGAGCTATCGATCCTCAACTAACATGCAGACAAAAGCCATTGACGCATGCGCGAAACAGCGACTGTCTTTTTGGCACGGGTAAAAGGACTGCTTGTGTGTATATGTATATTTGTGTGTGTGTTGGCTGTCAAAGGAATAGGGTTAGGTAAAATAACTAGTCTATTCTTTTGTAAGCTGCATTTCTCTCATTATAAGCACTTTGTTTGATTTCAGACTTCGATAAGGAATTATATACTGATGTTGTTTAAATACTTAAAGATTAAAGGTTAGACGCATATAGCTATATGTTTGGTCATTAGTAGGAACTGAAACCAAGAGGTTAACTTTTCACCTCAAATATACATTTCAATGGATAGTTGTAATATCGTTATAGTCTTTAATTCATAGCTGTTTCGTTATTTTTTGTGATATTTATTAAAATCCTATAATGAAAAAACAAAACAAAAAAAAACAGTCCACATATACCTCTCTAGAACAGGATAAATTCTATTTCAAGTTATCAACGTGATACGTCCAAGTCAGATCAAATAGGATAAATGATACAAAGGTTTGTTAAAGTGCATAGTATATGCCTAGATCTAACAGTTTACTGGATGACATTTAACAGCATACTGGTTGACACTGATATATACATATCGAGATCTAATAGTTTACTGGGTGACATTTAACAGCATACTGATTGACATTGGTATCTACTTGGGAACATTTAACAGCATACTAATTGACATTGATATCTACATACCTAGATCTAACAGTTACCTGGGTGACATTTAACAGCATAATGGTTGACATTGGTATCTACATACCTTGATTTAACAGTTTATTGGGTGACACTTAACAGCATATTGGTTGACATTGGTATAAACATGCCCAGATTTAACAGCAATACAGGTTGAGATTGGTATCTAACATGCCTAGATTTAACAGCATATTGGTTGACATTGGTATCTACATGCCTAGATCTAAAAGCATACTGGTTGACATCTAACCGTAATTTGATTGAAATTGGTATTTAACAAGTCTATATCTTACAACATACTGGTTGACATTTAGCATCATACTTGTTAACATTTACTTGAAGTGAAATATTTCTTCCGAACACTACAAGTCTTTTTACAGCACTTTACACTTTACACACACACACACACACACACACACATATATATAACAAAACTAAAACCAATAATAATGAGGCATTTCCAACAAAAAATAGTCATGACCCAGAAATTCCAACATCTAATCATATAAACACGTTGCAATCATATAAAAACAGCTATCAGACTAAAACCAACAATGGTCACAATCCATCAACAGTTACAAGTCATGACCTATATATTCCATTATTGATCATTGATAAAAATACATAGGATCATGTTCCAACAAGTATCATATCAAAAACAACATTATTCAAGTTCAAGCACTTCCAACAATTGCCAGTCATTATTTACGTATTTCAACCTTTAGTAGTCCTATAGACATAACGTAATCACATAATAACACTTACCAGACTAAAACAAACACTGATCACAATTCACCATCAATTACCAGCATTATCCACCAATTCTGTGATTTACTATTTATATATAGGCATGTAGTGCTTGTGTTCCAGCAATTATAAAACTAACAGTCCTTAACTGAAAATACAAACACTTTCCAGACTGAGTCACAATTACTAAACAATAACCACATAATGTTACACCTCAACAATAAACAAATAACGTTACATCTCAACTAATATGACCTTCTACTTTCGTAAGCTATCGATTAAAACATGACACACACTCAAAGTTAATGAATTTGCATACTGTAATTTGTGAACTACTTTTTTTTTTTCCAGACGACATTCATGTTATCCATGAGTACACTGACAGTATCTACTGGCACATTTTGTTTAAAAAGTGATTTTCATCTTCTATTTCAATACTACTACACCATTGTATTATAGGGGCTAGCTTTATGTTAAAAATACAATCACACCATTGTATTATAGGGGCTAGCTTTATGTTAAAAATACTACTACACCATTGTATTATAGGGGCTAGCTTTATGTTAAAAATACAATTACACCATTGTATTATAGGGGCTAGCTTTATGTTAAAAATACAATTACACCATTGTATTATAGGGGCTAGCTTTATGTTAAAAATACTACTACACCATTGTATTATAGGGGCTAGCTTTATGTTAAAAATACAATTACACCATTGTATTATAGGTGCTAGCTTTATGTTAAAAATACAATTACACCATTGTATTATAGGGGCTAGCTTTATGTTAAAAATACTATTACACCATTGTATTATTGGGGCTAGCTTTATGTTAAAAATACAATTACAACGATTTTTCAGTCTATTTCAAGCCTGTTCATAGAATTCCACTCTATATTAAGGAAAAGGGTCTACAAACCCACAGATTGGTAAACTCTGAACCTTCACTGATTGTTTAATTGAAGACCAGTCACGGACATGAGTCTGTATCCTCATTGACTAGGGCGTAGAGTTGTAATAAAAAATGTGTACGCACACTCACTGACTCGTAAACAGGGGACCAATGATGAATATGAGTCTGTACAGATATTAAGTAAGATACAGGCATTCGTTGAAGAACAAGACAATAGATGATTAAAATTATTCCTAAAATCCACACGTTTTGTTTCGCTTTAACAATCCATTCTATTTTGTCTTGCTTTACTGTATGCAAATTGTATTAACCGATATCTCTTTCGCTTTTTTTTTTCTTGGATCACGGGCTGGTCATGCGGCAGCGTTTCGGGATTTCGGAGTTGGCGAGCTAGTTAGAATACATGAGGTACCACAAAATGTTCTCGGCATTTTAAACTGTGGGTGCGTTAAGTGACATAAGCCGTGTTGTAGGGTACTGCTGACTGGTTGCCGTCACTCTGGTCAACAGTTCAAAATTAGGGACGGCTACAGAGAACTTTTGTAGCTTTGTCGTAAATACAAAATGCAATTACATTTTTTTTCTTTACTTTTGATATAAGTTGGGCTCTAACTGAGTTTCTATAATGGAAACCCCATGATAGTTTTAAAAGAACTATAATTTAGAGAGAATGGTATATAAATGACCTTCACAACTTTGAAAACTCACTATCGACATACCTGATACAATTGTAATTAACTGATCACGCAAACTTACTTAAAAATAATTTATTTCTAGAGCTTCGGGAAATTATGGGAGTTCTTAGACAATATTTGTGAGTAAAGTTATGTTTCTTTTAGGAAATGTATGCACTTTTTACTCATTCGAACTACACACGGTAGTATTTCAGTAC